CTGTTTTTATACCTTTTATCCAGTTATCATTTGTAGGAAGGCATTCAAAACTGAAGAACCTGGCGCCATTTGTTGTTATACAGTAGCTCACGACACGATCCAGTTTTGAGTGCGCACCCCTTTGCGCCATATCCTTCCGGGTAACAAGGAAATGACATCAGCCACGTAGATTTCTTATTGGCAGCGCTAACTCAAATTTCGAGTTATTTTCTCAAAATTTTGAGTTAATAACTCGAAATTTCGAGTTATGGATCTTTTTTTTTTTTTTCGAGTGGCGTGTAAACGGTGCTTCCATACTAAAATGTAAATAAATCATATAATACAAAAACCAACTATTGATTTCAACTTTTACTATTTAAATTTTCAGCTTTTCTTAGAATAAATCAGAATCAGAATCGTGTTTATTGGCCAAGTATATGTGCAGACACATACAGGGAATTTGGTTCCGGTAGATGGTGGCTCTCAAGCACAGCAATGTAAATCTCACACACACACACACACGTGTCTATATATACACATTACACATACATACACAAAGCTGTGTAAACCAACTATAAATAACGAATCTAAACTTATATACATAAAATACAGAAATGAATGAGGTGGAATGAATACTACAAAATGTACATAAGGTGCAGCTGCAGTCTGGCAGTGGGAGCAGTGTGACAGGTCAACTGTTAAGAAGGGAGATGGCGAGGGGAAAGAAACTGTTCCTGTGTCGGGTGGTCCTGGTCTGCAGGCTTCTGTACCGTCTGCCAGAGGGCAGCAGATCAAAAAGTCTGTGTGCAGGGTGTGAGGGGTCTGTGATGATTTTCCCTGCCCGTTTCCTGGTTCTTGAGAGGTACAGATCCTGGATGGAGGGCAGGGGGGCGCTGATGATCCTTTCTGCTGCCCGTACAGTCCGCTGCAGTCTGCTCCTGTCCTGTTTAGTGGCTGCTCCATACCAGACTGTGATGGAGGAGCACAGGACAGACTCAATGACCGCAGTGTAGAACTGGATCAGCAGCTCCTGTGGAAGACTGTACTTCCCCAGTTGTCTCAGGAAGTACATCCTCTGCTGGGTCTTTTTGAGGATGGAGTTGATGTTGGTCTCCCACTTCAGGTCCTGGGAGATGGTTGTACCCAGGAACTTGAAGGTCTTGTGGTCTCAGTAGTGGTGAGAGGACACATCCTTGAGGGGCACCAATACTGAGGGACCGGGTTTCAGAGGTGATCTCCCCCAGCCTCACTTGTTGCTTTCTGTCTGTCAGGAAGCTGGTGATCCACTGACAGGTAGCTGGTGACACGCTGAGCTGGGAGAGTTTGGAGGAAAGAAGTTCAGGCACAATGGTGTTAAAAGCCGAACTAAAGTCCACAAACAGGACCCTGGCAAATTTAAAGTGAAACAACACAAAACACTGCAAACCACAACACAATTAAATATAAATTAAAATATGAAAACAAAAAGAAGATGCATATTCTCTGTCATATGGGCCTGCATGAATAAACTTTCTGAATCCTTTATCATCTGCAACTGAAAATAGTTGTGGATGATTACTATACCTTTCTAATGTGACGTTGTTGTCCCTGGCTCTCTTTCTCTCCTGCTGTTCCTGTGCTACTGCGAGTGTAACTACCCCCTCTGCCCAGCGCAAAGCACAAGGCTCGCGTGCGAGTGAAGCGAAAAAAGTGCGAGAGAGAGGGTGAGAGAAAAAAAAAAACACGGCTCGCGTCGTTCTCGTCAAAGACCGGCTCTAAGAGCCATTTCGTTCACGACCATGGCACATTTTGGGATTGCATGGGCCACTGATTTGGTTTTCTATTGCCCATTTGCTGGGAGTAAGGGCGCCCTCCATTTGCGAGGTGCGCCTGCTGCTTGCGGCACAGGGAGGAGAGGGCGGGTCGGCGGTGATTCTCTGGCTGGCTGGAGCGGCATCTAATAACCAACTCGCAAAATAAAACAAAATAAAAACAAAACACAACAGGGCTGTAACAGACAAGATTATGCGATTAAAAATTTTAACGCAATTAATCCATTTGGAGCGCAGAATGACTCAAAATCCCTGAAATGTCTCTGTCAACGCATTTTGGGCAGTTTGTCCAAAGTTTGTCCATTCTGTACTCCAGATGGGTTGATTGCATTAAAAATTTTAATCGCGTTAATCGTGATGTTGGAGTTAACACATTAATGTTGGCAGCACACTGTTATCCAATTTTGGCACATATTGTACACCATGTATGAGTTTGTTTTTTTTAAAAATATTGAACAGCAAAAATTATTTACATGAAGTGTGATTTTATCGTAGTGGAAGTAAAACAGGAAAAGTAAGATGGATTTCATGATGATGTTTATGTGAACTGAAATGTGAAGCGTAGTTTCGATCTTCTTTTGCTGCTGATTCAGTCACTATGGAGAGACCACACAACCACACACACACCCACACACACACACACACACACCCACACACACACACACACACACACACACACACACACACACACACACACAGCAGTGTTTTAACCTTTTGTGACCATATGGGTCACAAAAGGACAAGCACCACCCATTGTAAAAAATGGGTAGTGCATGTATTCTCAGAATAAAAGGCTGCAAGGAAGGCTGTTTATTTGAAGTTGACTAGGACACAGGTGAGGAGCATTCAGCTCCAAGAGACTGGTTCTGAACAGCGTCCCTTGCTAGCAAGTAAAAAAACGGTTCTGTCGTTGTCTTGCTTTCTTCATGACTGATGAGTCTCTAAACTAGTAGGTCTGCTGAAGCGTAGATCCAACAGTGCCCTTCCATTTCACAAGAAGCTTTCTGAAAACAGCTCTGAAAAGTGGAAGACGACAGGAAACATGATATGGTGTATTTTTATTTCGATGAAGCGAAACCACATTGACATCAAAAATTAGGTACGGAGAAACAGCTTGCTTTAACATGAACAAATGACCATAAACATTAAGCAATACCTCTAGTAGCAGACATTTTGTTAACAATAATAATAAAAGAAATGAACTTTGTGCTATTCCACTTTATATGAATACATTAAGAATCAACTAAAAGAGAACTGCTAGTTAGTACATTTATTGTAAACACATTTAAGTATTATTAAAAGAAAAGCATCCTTTTGTTGCACTAAGATTCAACACACCTAACTATAAGTCAAAACAAAACTAGAAAGATGGTTGTAAATGTTCAGTATGTAAAAGTATGCCATTTTTGAATATGGTGTAAAAATGTAAAAGATGCTGAAACTAGGAGAGTTTTCTCCAAGCATGACATCCCGGTGCATTTCAGACCCAGCAACACGCTCAGACAGAAACTGGTTCACCCGAAAGACAAAACGCCAAAACACAGACTTAACAATGTGGTGTATGCTGTACAGTGCAGCGAGGAATGCCCAGACCTCTACATCGGAGAGACCAAACAGCCACTTCACAAGCGCATGGCACAACACAGAAGAGCCACCTCCACAGGACAAGACTCAGCAGTCCATCTGCATCTTAAGGATAAAGGACACTCTTTCGAGGATGCCAATGTTCACATTTTGGACAGAGAGGACAGATGGTTTGAAAGAGGAGTGAAAGAAGCCATCTATGTCCACTGTGAGCGACCATCTTTGAACAGAGGCGGGGGTTTACGACACCAACTCTCTGCCATCTATAATCCAGTTTTGAGATCCCTTCCCAGACGCCTTAACGCCCACTCACATCCTGGGCCATCTGACCTCAGGAATTCGCATGACAAGGTGAGGCCAGGTTTCACAATGAACCCACCTGAAACTCTGGCTGATTGGGGCCCGCACCCAATTTTCACACCTTGGCTCAGGTGATTAGAGGATCATCAGGGGGTCCTTTTGTCCCTCTGTGGGGGGAAACTCCCACTAGGTTTATATCTGGGACTCTCCACCATTTGACCTTAGAACTGAAGAAGCTTCTCGGATGAGAGGTGAAACGTCTTCAAGCAACTTAAAGAAGTCCAGACGCTTTTCTTTGCAAGCTCCTTTGACTACGATGACCTGGATGACTAGAACCTTCACAGACTTTCCTAATGCTGCATAATTATTCACAAGAAATCCAACAACAATTGAACACATCCCTTATGACTGGGCTTCATTTTTTTGGCTTTCATCCTTCTGGTCGAAAGTGAGTTTCCTTTACATATACCCTTGAAGTAATATCTACTAATGAACTAATGCAGCAATGATATATAAGCATATATGAATTCACTCTCACTGGTTTCTGTGACGCTTTCAGAACTGATTAGAGATGTGTTTACATTACTTCCCAATTCTATTTTTTTCCCCCCTAGAGACAATTGTTTATTCTCATGTTTAAGTTTTCCTTAGATTTGAAGGTTACAATTTTCATGGTTTTCATGGTATCTCATGTACACCTTTTGTGTGTATGAGTTTCTGGGTTAAATAAATGTTAAGTAATATTAAAACCGTTTATTGGCAGACACTTGTGCATTTTCTTTTAGAAGTAAAAAAAATACAAACAGGTGCAAATCAAGGCTGAATATGCAAAAAAGAAAAATAGGTATTTTAGCAATATAGCAAAAAGTTACAAGCCACAAATTCTCTGAATATCCTTTTATTGGATTTTTGAAGATGACAATGAAATGAAAGTAAGTGAATATAAAAATAATAATTATGTTCAATTATTTTAAAGGCTAATGTTTATTGGCCTTTGATTCTGTTGTATATTTCTTTCATATTAATTGATTTAAAAAGATTAATTGTAATAGTTTTTTGATTTCAGTTTAATAAACATTCCAGCAAAAAGTTAGCTGCTATTCTGATACTGGTAAAACATTTGGTAATAGGCAAGGATATTCTGGTAATGGTCAATAAACTGTGTAAGAGAGCGACATGGGCTTGAGGAATTTGAAAAAGAAAACAAAGAATTTGGTTGGGGGTTTGAGGTTGGAGATGGAACTGAAAGAGAATCCAAACTCCAAATGAGGATGGAAGCTGAAGTGGTGTTCAAGTTAGAAACACTTGTTGTTGGATGAGAAGCATTTATAGCTTGAAAATTAGCCCTGAGGTAGAGCCAGTGTTGGGAGGTGTGGTGCTGGAAGGGCCAGAGGTGGTAGAGCATTTTTTGCTGGGAGCCTCTGAGGTAGTGCCAGTGTTGTAATGTGTGGTGCTGAGAGGACCAGAGGTGGTGCCAGTGTTATAGTGAGTAGTGCTGGGAGCACCAGAAGTGGTGGAGAGCATGGTGCTAGGAGCGCCAGAAGTGGTTCCAGTGGTAGAGTGAGTAGTTTTGACAGAGTCAGAGGTGGTGCCACTGGTAGGGTGAGTAGTGCTGGGAGGGATAGTGGTGTTGGAGTGCGTGGTGCTGGGAGCCTCTGAGGTAGTGCCAGTGTTGGGAGGTGTGGTGCTTGGAGGGCTAGAGTTGGTAAAGCGCGTTCTGAAAGGGCTAGATGTGGATAGTGAGTCAGATGATGTAGTCAGTGGAACTGATGTGGTAGTTAAGGGTCCAGATGTGGTAGAAGTTATGCCAAATGTTGTAGTAATAGGAAGGGATGTGGTAGTGACAGGGTCCGATGTTGTAGTGAAGGGTTCAGATGTGGTAGAAGTTGGTCTAGATCTTGTAGTAGGAGGAAGAGATGTGGTAGTGAAGCTTCCAGATGTTTCAGTATGAGAAAGAGATGTAGTTGTGACAGGGTCCAATGTTGTAGTGAAGGGGCCAGGTGTGGTAGAAGTTGGTGTGTTACTATCATTGGATGATAAGCTAAAAGGGAATGTTGCATTATAAGTAGTAACAGAGGCCACTGAAAGAAACATTCTGTGGATAAGATGCATTTCCATCTGCATTTACGCCTAACTGATATCCAGCTATTCCTACTGGTAATCCACTTCCAGTTCTGCCTACAACTCCGTCTACTGCTGGTGCACTTCCAGCACCACCTACTCCAACTCCAAATACACTTAGAGAACCTCCTACTCCTAATGCACTTGGACCTCCCCCTATTGCTGAAGCACTTGCAGCCATGATTGCAGCCAGCACACTTCCAGCTCCACCAAGTGCAACTGGAGTTCCACTCAGTATTTTTTTTAAAGTGTCTTTAAAGTCCTGAACTGAGTTTCCCTCTGGACTGACTTCATTTGGTATATTAGTTCGTTCCTTTTTGTGTTTGTCCTCATCTTGTTTCTTTTTTGTTGTGGTAGCCGTGGTTGTAGTAGAAATTGTTGTTGTAGCACTAATGGGATGTGTTGTTAAAACTCTTGAAGTCTGGGCTTTGGTAGTAGGACGAGTGGTGGTAAGGAAAGGGGTTGTTAGTCTTAAAGTAGTTAGTGTGTCTGCAGATGTAGGTATGGATGTGGTACTAGGGTGGACGGTGAAAGAGGGGGAAGTGGCAGATGTGGTAGTAGGTGGGAAAGATGTTGTAGTAACAGGAAGAAATGTTGTTGTGAAGGGTCCGGATGTTGTAGTAAGAGGAAGTGATGTAGTTCTGACAGGGTCCAATGTGGTAGTGAAATGGCCAGATGTGCTAGGTGGTCCAGATGTTGTAGTAAGAGGAAGCGATGTAGATGTCATAAGGTCCGATGTGGTAGTGAAGTGGCCAGATGTAGTAGAAGTTGGTCCAGATGTTGTAGGAGGACGAGATGTGGCAGTGAAGAGACTAGATGTGGTAGAAAGAGGAAATGTAGTAGTGCTGGAAGGGCCAGAGGTGATAGAGGGTGTGGTGCTGGGAGCCTCTGAGGTAGTGCCAGTGTTGGGAGGTGTGGTGCTGGAAGGGCAGAGATTGTGCTAGTGGTATATTGAGTTGTGCTAGGAGCACCAGAATTGGTGGAGGGCATGGTGCTGGGAGGGCCAGAGGTGGGTCCAGTGGCCGAGTGAGTAGTGCTGGGAGCGCCAGACGAGGTGTCAGTGGTAGAGTTAGTAGCGCTGGGAGCGGTAGAGTGGTGAGGTCGTGGTGCTGATAGGGACAGTCTTGGTGCCGGTGGTATAGTGCGTAGTGCTGGGTGCACCAGAAGTGGTAGAGGGCAAGGTGCTGGGAGGGCCAGAGGTGGTTCCAGTGGTAGAGTGAGTAGTGCTGGGAGGGCCAGAGGTGGTGGAGGGCGTGGTGCCCTGAGCCTCTGAGGTAGAGCCAGTGTTGGGAGGTGTGGTGCTGGAAGGGCCAGAGGTGGTAGAGCGTTTTTTGCTGGGAGCCTCTGAGGTAGTGCCAGTGTTGTAAGGTGTGGTGCTGAGAGGACCAGAAGTGGTGCCAGTGTTATAGTGAGTAGTGCTGGGAGCACCAGAAGTGGTCGAGAGCATGGTGCTGGGAGCGCCAGAAGTGGTTCCAGTGGTAGAGTGAGTAGTTTTGAGAGAGCCAGAGGTGGTGCCACTGGTAGGGTGAGTAGTGCTGGGAGGGATAGTGGTGTTGGAGTGTGTGGTGCTGGGAGCCTCTGAGGTAGTGCCAGTGTTGGGAGGTGTGGTGCTGGGAGGGCTAGAGTTGGTAAAGCGCGTTCTGAATGGGCTAGATGTGGATACTGAGTCAGATGATGTATTCAGTGGAACTGATGTAGTTTTGAAGAAACCAGATGTGGTAATAAGAGGCAGCGATGTATTTGGGATATGGACTGATGTGGTAGTTAAGGGTCCAGATGTGGTAGAAGTTATGCCAGATGTTGTAGTAATAGGAAGGGATGTGGTAGTGACAGGGTCCGATGTTGTAGTGAAGGGTTCAGATGTGGTAGAAGTTGGTCTAGATCTTGTAGTAGGAGGAGGAGATGTGGTAGTGAAGATTCCAGATGTTTCAGTATGAGAAAGAGATGTAGTTGTGACAGAGTCCGATGTTGTAGTGAAGGGACCAGATGTGGTAGAAGTTGGTGTTGTAGTAATAGGAAGGGATGTGGTAGTGACAGGGCCCGATGTGGTATTGAAGGGGCCAGATGTGGTAGAAGTTGGGCTAGGTGTTGTAGTAATAGGAAGGGATGTAGTAGTGACAGGGTCCGATGTGGTAGTGAAGCGGCCAGATGTGTATAGTGAGTCAGATGTTGTAGCAAGAGAAAGTGATGTGGTTGAAGATGGGACACATGTTGTAGTAACAGGAAGCGATGTAGATGTCATAAGGTCCGATGTGGTAGTGAAGTGGCCAGATGTGGTAGAAGTTGGTCCAGATGTTGTTGTAGGAGGACGAGATGTGGCAGTGAAGAGACTAGATGTGGTAGAAAGAGGAAATGTAGTAGTGCTGGAAGGGCCAGAGGTGGTAGAGGGTGTGGTGCTGGGAGCCTCTGAGGTAGTGCCAGTGTTGGAAGGTGTGGTGCTGGGAGGGCCAGAGGTGGTAAAGCGTGTGGTGCTAGCAGACTCTGAGGTAGTGCCAATGTTGGAATCTGTGGTGCTTAGAGGGCCAGAGATGGTGCCAGTGTTATAGTGAGTTTTGCTGGGAGAAACAGAAGTGGTGGAGAGTATGGTGCTGGGAGCGCCAGAGGTTGTTCCAGTGGCCGAGTGAGTAGTGCTCGGAGCGCCAGAGGGGGTGTCAGTGGTAGAGTTAGTAGCGCTGGTAGCGATTGAGGTTGTGGAGGGCCTAGTGTTGATAGGGCGAGTGTTGGTGCCAGTGGTATAGTGAGTTGTGCTGGGTGTACCAGAAGTGGTAGAGGGCATGGTGCTGGGAGGGCCAGAGGTGGTGTCAGTGGTAGGGTGAGTAGTGCTGGGAAGGCCAGAGGGGTTGGAGGACCTGGTGCTTGGGGGGCCAGTGTTGGTGCCAGTGGTATAGTGAGTAGTGCTGGGAGAACCAGAATTGGTGACAGGCATGGTGCTTGGGGGGTCAGAGGTGGTTCTAGTGGTAGAGTTGGTAGTGATAGCAGGGCCAGAGGTGGTGGAGGGCATTGTGCTGGGAGCGCCAGAGGTGGTTCCAGTGGCCGAGTAAGTAGTGCTCGGAGCACCAGAATTGGTGGCAGGCATGGTGCTTGGGGGGCCAGAGGTGGTTCCAGTGTTAGAGGTGGAAGTGATGGGAGGGCCAGAGGTGGTGGAGGGCGTGGTGCCGGGAGCCTCTGAGGTAGTGCCGGTGTTGGAAGGTGTGGTGCTGGAAGGGCCAGAGGTGGTGTCAGTGGTAGAGTGAGTAGTGCTGGGAGCACCAGAATTGGTGACAGGCATGGTGCTTGGGGGGCCAGAGGTGGTAGAGCGTTTGTTGCTGGGAGCCTCTGAGGTAGTGCCAGTGTTGTAATGTGTGGTGCGGGGAGGGCCAGAGGTGGTGCCAGTGTTATAGTGTGTAGTCCTGGGAGGGCCAGAAGTGGTTCCAGTGATAGAGTGAGTAGTTTTGGGAAGGCCAGAGGTCGTGCCACTAGTAGGGTGAG